CTTGGTGCTAGTCTCTCTTTGCTCTCTCCTGGCCTGGGTGTCCCTCCTGGCAGAGTGGGGCTATCTCAGGCCGGGGAGTATTTACAGAGCTCACTGACTGCCCTGCCAACTCTTGGCTTCAACTGCAGACCTCTGCAAGGGTCTGAGGAGCAGATTACTCACTAACTTTTGTGTCTTCTGTAGCAGAAGAGGAGCAAGAAGGAAAGGATGTTGGAGAAGCAGAAGGCAGAGAAAGAGCTGTCCCGCATTGAGGAGGCACTGATGGATCCCGGGCGACAGCCAGAGTCCGCAGATGATTTTGACCGACTCTTGCTGAGCTCCCCCAACAGCTCTATCCTGTGGCTGCAGTACATGGCCTTCCACCTGCAGGCCACAGAGATCGAGAAGGCCCGGGCCGTGGCTGAGAGGGCTCTCAAGACCATTTCCTTCAGGTCTCGGCCTTGTCCTCCTGCTTTGGTGGGGGGGTGGCTCTTGAAAGGGAGGGCTGTGTCTCCGCCGGCTGCAGAGCTTGCCGCCTGTGGGTCATTTCCTCTTCGGCAGGCCGACAGCAGTTTGGGTGGCCGCCACCCGCACCCATAGGTTCCCAGGCTTGTCTCATTGCTGTGCCATCTGTGAAACAGATCTGCTCATTAATATTTTATAGTCTCCTTCACTGAAGTGGCTAAGGGTTTACAGGAGTCCCTACACTGAAATAAAGGGCCTAACTTGGAGCAGAAGTAGAACAAGGGGAATAACTCCACGTACCTGGGTGCAGACGCTCTCAGTTGCCATTTCCAGGCACAGGGTAGAATGAGTTTTCTGACCGCTAAGAGGAGGGATGGTGATCCTTTGCTTCATTCTCTTAGTTTGGAGAGAGAGACCAGAAGATTCTGCTCCTTCCTGCCCAAACATCTAGCCAGTTTTAAGATTTAGTGGGCTTCCTTTCTAGGAATGGAGGCAGATGCCAGGGGAACCCCCACAGTCAGGGGCTGGTGTTCTGCTTCTGTGTGAGCTGCAGTGGGGACTGGGCTTCTCAGGGTTCTCACTAGGGGCTGGAAACTGAGGATGTGGATAGAGCCAGGGAACGAAGAAATAGTTCCAGTCTGCATCCCTGGGCAGTAGTGGGGGCTTTCTTGGGCTGAGGTGATGGAGCTCATGTGCTGACTTTCTCTCCAGAGAGGAGCAGGAGAAGCTGAATGTATGGGTGGCTCTGCTGAATCTAGAGAACATGTACGGCTCTCCGGAGTCACTGACCAAGGTCTTTGAGCGGGCTGTGCAGTACAATGAGCCTCTCAAGGTCTTTCTCCATCTGGCTGACATCTACACCAAGTCAGAGAAATTCCAGGTAGGAGTCTGATCTGGGTGGCCCGCTGCCGGAGGGTCCTTAATTGCTCAGAAACTAACTCCTAGGAGTCACAGAGGCAGCAGGGAAGTCACAGGGATGAATTCCCCCATTCTGGATACAGCCCTGCCACAGGCTTGCTATGTGTCATCTGGGCCCTAACTTGTTTGCCTTCTAAGTGGGCGGAGTCATTTCCTCCCCCCTCTACTTTAGGACTGCAGCCGGCAGCGGAAGGAAGTGAAGGGACAGCTGACCCCTGGTGTATATCCCTTGGGTTTACAGCCATGAGGCAGCAGCTCGGCAGAGTGTCCCTTTTCTGTCTCTCGTGTGCCCCCATGTTGTTCTCACCTTCTCTCTTCTCCTGTTTGGACTTCCATGCAGCACAGGATTGATAGGGAGACTCCTCACCTGTAAGGCTCCTTCATGTGTTCTGTGAGCCTCTCTGCTTCCCTCAGGCACCTAGAATTGGGCCTGCACAGTGACTGGAGTTTGAGGCTACGTCTAACCCCTCATGAGCATAGCTGCTGCCTGTCTCTGTTGTATCACACTCTGTAGCTTACCTTTTCTTTCCCACAGGAAGCTGGTGAGCTCTACAACCGGATGCTGAAGCGATTCAGGCAGGAGAAATCTGTCTGGATCAAATATGGTGCCTTTCTTCTGCGGAGGGGCCAGGCTGGGGCCAGTCACCGTGTGATGCAGCGAGCCCTCGAGTGTCTGCCCAATAAAGAGCGTGAGTGTTCATCCCCACCTTCCAGCCTGATTCTGGATCACATTAGGCTCTCTGATGTCTGGACGTAGGGATTGGGGGTTTTCTCTGAGCGGGGTGTGGTGTTGGGAAAGCCTAGTGGAGGGCATATAACTATTTTTCTATTGATTACATGCTCATGGACGTAACCATCTGTTGCATTTCAGATGCTAAACTTCAAAGATGAAGGAACAAAAAACAGTTAGTGCTAACTTTGTTGCCCCTGCCCCCTCTCCCTACTGGGCCCAGAGAGACTCTCCAGTGGAAGTCATAGATCAGTACCCGTCTGTGTATTTGGCCCTAAACTGCCCCACTGTCCCAACTGTCATCTTGGAACCTGGGAGCAGGGAGTCAGGGGTCAGACGGTGTCTGACACGTAGCACATTGTGCTGTGGTGAGGGGTCTGTCTGCTTTGTGTATCTGAGCTGTCCTCTCCCTGCAGATGTGGATGTGATTGCCAAGTTTGCCCAGCTGGAGTTCCAGCTAGGGGATGCGGAACGGGCCAAAGCCATTTTTGAGAACACACTGAGCACCTACCCAAAGCGCACTGATGTCTGGTCGGTTTACATCGACATGACCATTAAGCATGGCAGCCAGAAGGAAGTCCGGTGAGAGGGGAAGACAGATCGGGGCTGATTTAACTGTGGGGATTGGGGGACGTTGGCCAAGTGTATAAGTTTTAGCCCCACAGTCAGCTTCCAGGATCCCCGGTTCTCTTTCACTCTCTGAAGAACATCTTTGACATGACATACCAGGTCCTGTGGCATTCACTTTGCAACCTCTTTTTCTGTATCTGGAACCTGGGGTGGGTGGTAGGCTGGTCCTGGTGTGGGAGTCAGGAAATTTGGGCTTCCTGCATAATTCATTGTACCTGCTTCTGGTGATAGAGAATGTTCATGGGCTTGCTGTTGTCGCCTGTGTCTCCACAAGGCAGAGAGGATTAGGGATGGATGGATTGAGGTCAGAAAGAACTAGTGCCTTGCCCAAGCCTGTGGGTTTTGATCTAGAAAGAGGGTGGCAATCTATCTTCCCATGGATACCTTAGGACTTTAAAATGGCAATGAATGTAAAGACAGATGTGAGAGTGCTGGAAAACAGCCTGGCTCCAGGGCCAGAGGGCGAGTGGGTGACAGCTAGCCAGCAGTCGAGTGGCCGGGGGCCAACAGGCAAATGCTGCCTTGCTCTTCCTCACAGGGACATCTTTGAGCGGGTCATTCATCTCAGCCTGGCTCCCAAGCGAATGAAATTCTTCTTCAAGCGCTACCTGGACTATGAGAAACAACACGGCACTGAGAAGGACGTGCAGGCCGTGAAGGCGAAGGCCCTGGAATACGTGGAAGCCAAGAGCTCCGTGTTGGAGGACTAGTGGCCCGCGGGCCTCAGATGACCACTGTCGGCAGGGGGCCAGCCCTGGCGAATCTCAGGCGTGTGGGCGGCTGAAAAGCTGTGTTGTCTGAGGACTCTTATTTAAGTGTTGCTTTTTCTGCAGCACCTTTTAGGGTAATCCTGTCAGGATGGAAAAGAACTTGAGCTTTCTTAGACTGCCTTTTTGCTTGTTTTAAGTACTAGTTTACTTCATTTGTACCCTTTTCTGAGGCTGCTCAGTGGTTGTAGGCAGCAGACTCTTGGACCCCTAGAAAAGCTGAGGCGCTCTCCTTCCTGGGAGTTTGCTGGGGACAAGAATGGAGGGGCTAACTTCTGATGACCTGGTGGTCAGGATCTCACTCTGGCCCCAGTAGGCTCTTGGTCCAACTAGAGGGGGTCAGCAAGATCCAGGGAGTGGGCCTCCTCCCCTAGGCTGAGTCCCGCAGCCTATGCTCAGCTAGCACTTGTGCCCTTTTGTGGACTCAGTGAGGCTGGGACAGGAGGATGAAGGCAGACCCCAGAAAGGACAGTTGGGGAACCCGGGTACCTGAGAGGAAAGCCACAGGGATTGACATGAACCACCTGGGAGGTTTCCTCCCAGGCCCACCAGGCCCAGATTATCCAGATTCTCCTAAGTTAGGTGCCTCATTTGTGAAATGGGGTCAAAAAGTCCTACTTGGAATAGTGGTGGGGCCGGGTAGTTAGGAGGCTCGGTGAGGACCTAGATTGCTGTGCTGTGTGAGTTGGGGAGACCACAGTTTTTCTGTGTCTCCCTATAGCCCCGATGGGGAGAGATCCTTGGATGGAGGGCATTGATTGGCTGGATGATTTTCCTTGAGACCTGAGGGAAAGGGGACATGTTGGGTCCACCACACCCACGCCTCCCTGGGGCCCTTGTAAATTTCCCAGAAAGGTGGCATCCACCTCCTTTGGTAATAATCCTGTATGTTCCAGAATTCTTGGAGGCCAGCACAGACTCAGTTGTAGAGGCCAGTTCTTTTCTGGCTGGTCTTAAGGGGATTAAACGTTTTCTTTGGCAGCGCTTTAAATGTGCTGAGAACTGGAGAGCTTTCCTATGGGAAGTGACTGGGTTGAATGCTGGGAAGCAGGACAGGGACAAGGAGAGCATCAAAGGTTTTAGAGATGGTGGAGGCGGTCAGACAAGGGTGGGCATGTGTGGGTGGTGGGGAGAGGCAGAGGTGGGGCTATCCTGGTTTTTGGTCATTAGCACTAAGTTATAGGAGCTAGTCTACCCTCCTGAGTGTTGGGTCTTTTGACTCATGGAGTTTAAGGTGATCTTCCATCTGAGACAGGCCAGGCTTCATCTGTTGCCCAGATCAAATCAGATAACTGAATCTAACTATCAAGACATCATCAGCCGTAGGGCCTTCCCACATGTGGGAACATTTGGCTTTCCCTGCACCCCTGCCCTCCCTTCCATCCATTTTAATTTTGCTCAGAGTCTCTCTATCCCCCCCGCCAATCCCAAGGGGATGGGATTTGGGCCTGTCTCCGTGACCACCAGCCTGCTGTGGCATAGCCCATCCAATAATGCAGACACCAAGCTACTCGTTTATACTAGGAACAACTTTATCAAAAATTTTAAGTATATAAAATAAAGCCAGAGGCTTACATTGGAGGGCAGCTTCCTGGCTGAGCACTGCTGAGCCAGGTATCCGCGTGCAGTCACACATACGGTAAGTGCACGATATCCTGCACAAGGATATCACGCTCACCTGGCTCTGCTGGCCGGGGCTTCCCAGCTTGGGAGTCGCACCGGTAAGCAGTTGTCCACATCATAGTTAATTAAGGCTAGGTTCTGAGAAAGGGCCTTTTCCCCAAAGCGGTTGACCAAGTGTTTGGTGGCAGCAGGACAGGGCGTTTCTTCAGGTCTGAGAGCCTTGCTGTCGGAGCAGACCACGTTGTTTACTAGCTCTCCACACCCCAGGGTGCTTTGTGTTCCTTGCTTCTGACCTGTTTCCCCAAAAAGTTAAAAAAAAATCATCCCCTTCTGATGCTGTGAGCAGGCGGTGGAGTTCCGTTTGAGTCCAGGCACCGTCACTGGCAAAGAGTGCGGGAACCGGTCCCTCAGGGGGCGACCAGGGCCATCTCCACGGTTTCTGGTGCCGTGCCGTTGCCCGCCAGACCCTGGGCCCACTTGTGCAGGCGGCTGTAGAGCGGGAGGCCCTGGTTCTCGCGGTACAGATAGACGCCCGTGATGGCGTTCCACTGTGGCCGAGGCTGGGTGCCTTCCACGGGGAACCTGGCCACCAGCTCCTCGTCGTCCTTGTCGAGCGCCACAAAGCCGAAGAAGCGGCGCACGTTGTTGGCGGCCAGCACCCGCGAGTGCACCTCGGCCGTGCGCTGGAAGAGCTGGTCCTCGTTGGCGCGGTACTGCGCCCAGTAGGCCTCCTGGCGGTAACTGAGTGGTGAGCAGTAATGCTTGAGGCACTTGGTCAGGAACACCAGGATGGCCACCATGCCGATAAGCAGCCACCCGAAGAGCTGGCCAGAGAAGGGGCAGGGTTGAGGAGGGGCAAGGAGCTGCCTAGACCCTCCCCCGCCCCAGGAGGAAGTGGGAGGAGCTGGTCAGAGGGCTCTGGCTGGGCTGGGCTGGGCCGAACCGAACCTCAGCCACAACCCCCCTGAGGGCAGATCCTACTAGAAGGGAAACGGTCCTTATGGCTGTGATTCCACTTCTTTGTCCTCACTCCCTTGAACTCACTTTCTCTGTTGTGTTTTATTTGTTTGTTTAGAAAATCCTGTGCTCTCCTTGTGTCCCTCATCCCTTGCTGCTCTGAGTTAATACTCCTAGCGGTGTTTTCTGCCCCCGTCTCTGCCCTTGTCCTCTCTCCCCAGGCTGACCTCTGCTCCTTCAGAATTGAGCCACGGCTAAGGCTAGGATCAGGGCAGCAGCCACTGCGTCCTGAGTCAACACCCCTTCCTGGCTCGGGGGCCTCCCCTATGACAGCAGCACTTGAAGGCTGACTTCGTGCTGGGCCGGGGTCCTTCCCGGAATAGGAACGGGTCACCTCCTAGCTGACGGTAACTGTTTCATAAGCTTGCAAGGGTTCGTGCTCAATCTGGGTGAAGTAGAGGGTTTTTTTTTGTTTTTGTTTTTTTTTATTATTTTTTTTAACGTTTATTTATTTTTGAGACAGAGAGAGACAGAGCATGAACGGGGGAGGGTCAGGGAGAGGGAGACACCAGAATCTGAAACAGGCTCCAGGCTCTGAGCTGTCAGCACAGAGCCCGACGCGGGGCTCGAACTCACTGACCGCGAGATCATGACCTGAGCCGAAGTCGGCCGCTTAACCAACTGAGCCACCCAGGCGCCCCGAAGTAGAGGTTTAATCTGTGACTGGGATCAAGGCTTAGTCTAAGCCAGAACATTCCTTTAATGTTTAAAAGTTGCTTCACCAAGTCCTAACTCAAAGGTTACCCGGCTCAGACACCTGACGCTGACAATCTAGTGCTTTCCTGGAGACCTCAGCCCCTGAGGACAACTCTGCCTTCAAGGCTGGACCATCTCAGCACCTCCCCACCAGCCGTCGCCTAGGGAAGAAAGAGGAACAACTTCCCTTTGCACAGCCTTACCTGGGACTCGTACTTGAGCCTGCGGGTGACCTCCTCCCGGAAGCCTGACAGGTTGGCAGGGCCCTCCCCACAAGGGAACCTGGCCAGGATTTCCGTGGCATGGTCTGGTGGGAATCCCTTTTCCCCAGCTGTGAGTGAGGAGGGGTCCACAAACTCGCTGAGAGCACAGACGTAGGCCTCACCGCGCAGCAGGGAGATGACAGACCAGGTCACGGGGGCCACGGCCGCACGGCCCAGGATGGAGCTTAGGAGGAGGAAGTTGGGGGCGGCCGAGCAGTTCTTGGTCCTCCGGTACTGGCACTCGGTAACTAGGTTCCAGGTGTGGTTGTTGAGGATGACACCGATGAGGAAGAGTGCTAGGGCGGGCACACCGATGGCTGTCAGCCCATATAGGTAGTTCCGGGCAGGTGAGCAAGGGCAGTGGAAAGCCACCACAGAGAACAGCTCCTGGCTGCCCACTGTGCCCAGTGCCACCAGCCCATTGAAAATCATCACGTCCTTGCTCTTGAAGAAGAGCGATAGGAAGCGGAAGTTCTCTGCAATCAGGGCTGCCATGGTGATGAGTCGGCTGGGGGACCGACTGCAAGGGGAGGTGCAGGCGGAGCCTGGGGCCGATGGTTCCTGGTGGGACTAAGAAGGCGTGCAGGCTGGTAGGCATCTGAAGGCAGGGCGAGGTCTTGTCATCTTAGCCCCTCTAGTGGCTGGCCGAGCGCTCCCTGTGGGACAGTAAGTGACGATAAATGTGTGCCTCTGAAAACTGAAAGGGTTTGAGGGGATCTTGTGTGGCCAGGCTGGTGAGATGGGAAGGAGACTTGGGGAGCCCCAGGGCCTGGTGGACAGGGTGGTGGCAGCCACTGCTCACTGAGCCTCTGCTAGGTGCCAGGTGCTTTCCATACCTCATTGCCCATGGTCAGGATCTCACTGTGTTGTCATATCCCCAGTGTATGCAGAGAGGGTGGAGGCTTCCTGAGGGGGAGGGGCTTGCCAAGGTCACATGTAAGTAAGTGGCAGAGATGAGATTCATGCTCAGGTCTGTCTGCCTCAGGCACTCAGGTTCTTGTTACTCCCACAAGCTTCCCTTGAAGGAGGGATTAAGAATGGCCTTGTGGCCCTGGGGAATATGGGGTTCCAAGTAGTTCTGATGTGTTAAGGGACCTAGGACTACTTGGAGGGTTTTGTCCTCAAGGCCTGTAGCCCATGGGTATAACAGCTGAGTGGGTGACCTGGTAAAGGACTTGGGCCTGACTCAGTGAGGTGGGGTGGGGTGGGGTGGAGGAAGGGGACTCGGTCAGTGGTAAGCCTGGTGCAGCGTTCCTAGAATTCATGAGAACTTTTCATTTTGGAGACCTCAGCATCTGGACTGGTTTAGGAGATCCTGGCTTTCAACGTACTTCATGACTTTTCTTTGGGTCTCGGTGTCCTCATCTGTGAAAAGAGGCCAAATCATTCTGGCCCTTGCTCTCTCCTTAGCGGTGCTGGGGGGAAAAGAAAGGGGGAAAAGTGATGCCTAATAACTGTTCTGCGACACCTCACCCTGTCAAGTCTTTAGGGTGGCTCCCAGAGGTGAGGCCCCTGGCATGTTTCTCCTTCCTGCAAATATCAGGAAACTAAGGTCTAAAGAGGAGTAAGTGCCTTGCTCGAGGCCATTAAAGTATGGAGGTGCCTGGGCAGGACTTTCGAGCCTGATGTAAGGAGGCTTGGGAAGTGGACAGGGGTGGGTCTAGCTAAGTCAGTCCTCTGTTTTCTTGGCCTCCTGACCTTGCTCTGTGCTCATCCAGGAGAGAGCCCTGGTGAACCTTCCATTCCCCACCCATTACCCCTCCCTTTCTAAGCAGCCTCCCGGGGGGGCTGCCCAGCCTGCCAGGGACAGGCAGCCTTGATGGGCTAAGGCTTGACCATCCCCACCAGCCCATACCCAGCCTGCTCCGCCATGTGGTCCTGGCAGCCTGCCAGGAAGTGGCTGAGGCTCCAGCCATGTTCTGTCCCGACTCCCTTCCTAGGCTCCACCCACACAAGCAGACATTCCAGGGTGTGGTCCTGTGTCCTCCCCATTTAGGGGATGAGAAAAGCCCACAGCCAGAAGAAGCCTGGGAGTGGTGGGATGGAGTGGGCAGCAAACAAAGCGGGGGAGACCTGCCCATATTTCCTTCTCTACCTCCTCTGTACCCGCCACCCTTCCTGGTCTCTGCCCAGGTTGCCAGATGGGCCCCGGCAGTGACCACGTGGGGAGCCAGGAGCAGGAGGAGGGACCTGACTCCCTCCCACTCAGCCCAGGGCCTCCGGTTGCACTCTTTGGGAAAAAGTTTATAATGTTGCCAGGGATGAATGGGTTAAAGGCAGGCTCCTCTCCCTCTTGCTCTTCCCCTCTTGGCTTCAAGTTTCCTAATGAGCCTTCATGGGTTCAGAAGCTGCCCAAAATGGGGTACAAGATACCTGAATCCTTGGGGTAGTGAACAGAGAGGAAACCAGGCCATCGGCTGAGACTACCGGCCCTGTCTCGCAGGCCAGGAAGGGGTCACATCTAGGCCTGGGTGGGACCTCTGACAACAGCAGTTGGGACAGAAAGTGGGACAGGCTGGGAGGGGCACAACTGGCGGGGTCCAGAGTGAGGAGCCTCGGAGGGGCCTTTCTTCCCAGGACAATCCCTCCGGGTGGCCTTGAGCAGCCCGCCCATCCTCCCCATCCTCCCCGTCACCTGGCACACCCCAGAGAAGGGCCCTTCCTCTTACCTGGGGCCAGTTGCGGGCGACAACCAGTGGCTTCAGCCTCCGCGGAGCGTGGGCCTGCAGGGCGGCCCTGACCCGAAGTGCTTTCGGGCTGTCTTGCGCTTTCTTCTGCACTGGAGCAGGGCCTGGGCCGGCCTGGCGCTGTTTTCTAAGAAGTTTTAACTCCAGGAAGAGAAGGAAACAGCAGGATGGAACTCGGGCAGTAGCAGTGAGTGGAAAAACAGCCGCCTTCAGGCGCCAGGCAGGGGAGGGCGGGTGGTGAGGGCGGTGCAAGAGGAGAGGAAGTTGGGCTGCCTGTTTAGCAGCGCCTGGCCCGCGCCTGCCCTCCTGAGCCAGCTGCACACCAGGGGGACCAGTTCAGGGGCCAGGCAAGGGGGCCCTCCGGGAGATCCTGCCTGGGCCTGTCCTCCCTGCCAGTGTCAGGAGTGCTGTCCGTGCTTGACCCCCACTGGACAGGAGCTGCCACGGAGGCCCCAGGAGGGTTGGAGGAGAGGCGCCACCAGACTGATGCTGACCACTAGCAGGATGCACAGGCCATGGCCTCCCTACCTTATTCTGGCTCCTCTCCCTCAGAGCCGCCCTGCACCTGTCGGTCCTCCTCCCCACCACTGGGTCTTCTGTCCATACTTCAGCTAACTCCCCTGGCACTGCTTCACATCTCAGGAGGGCTGGCACCGTGATTCTCTGAGGCCCTGTGCGCAGACCACCGGATGGTGGGTAGAAATTACAAGAAGGCGAGTTGCTGCGAGGACCCCTTTGTAACCATCAGAGCTGCCCAGCCTGTCCCAGAAAGCGGTCATGAGCTCCCCATCTGTGGGAGTGTGCAAGCTGAGGCTGGAAAGTCACGGGCCAAGAATTCTAAAGGGGAGAGCCCTGTCCAAGGACAGGCTAGATGAGCCCTATGATTAAGGGAAAGACCTCCCTCAAGTTTCCCCCTGTGTCATCTCTGCAACGTTTGTGGTTCTGTGACCGTGGGACTGCCGAGTGCCACACTGGCCTCCCTGAATTGTGCTTGTCCCTGTGCAGAAATGAACGGAAAGGACCAGTGGTTATTATTCAGATCCTACCAGGTGCCAAACACCATTCCAGATTCTTCCTCAAAAGTTATCCTCCTTTATCCTCACCATAATTCTGAAAAGCAGGTCTTTTTAAGATCTGTTTTTCACATAGACACACTGAAGTTTGGAGGGATTTAGTGAGGTCCTACAGCTCTAGTTCTTGAACCCCAATCTGCCTGACCCAAAACCTTGCTCTTTCCTTGGCGTTTGTACCTCCTGATACCCTGGGCGTGTCCTCCTCCTAAATAATGAAAGGAGCTCAGGCTGAGTCTTAGAAGTGGGAATGGAGGGAAGAGTAGTTGGGAAGAAGGGAAATTATTAAAGCGATGTTGTAGGGATCAAGATCAAAATGAATTCCTAGATGAGTGGGACTCACATCTTCCTGGCCCTCAATTCCCTCCTCGACAAGGTGTCTCCAGTTCCTTATGTCGCCCTCCCGTTCTGTCCAGGGTCGGATAAGCTGTCAGGTTCAGAACATGAGTTTGAACATGAGTTCAAACACATGAGCCACTGCATACTGAGTACCTATTCTGTGCTTTACACCCTTCACCTGTTTCATGATTTTAACAACCCCATCAGGTAGGTGCCCCATTATACAGATGAGGAAACTGAGGCACAGAAAAGGAAGCAGTTGGCCCGAGGGACACAGTTTGTAACTGGCAGAGTCAGCATGTGACCCAGTTTTCTCTGGCTCTGGAGCCTGAGCTGTTTCCACTGCAGGCAGCTCCCCTTCCACTCCTCCACCCTCCTCCCCGTCTCAGGGCAGAGCCTCTTAGCACTCTAGAGACCCCTTCCCAGGGAGTAGGGTTTCTGAGAAAATGGGAAAAATTCAGCTTTTTTTCTAAATGCCTGAGCTCAGGGGAGGTCTGATTTTCCGCAAGACCTGGATGTGAAGGAGGTGTTCAGGCGGTCTCCAAGGACCCCTCCAAGGGAGGGTGGTATGGTCTGAATGTGTGCCCCGCCCCCCCCCCGCCCCCATTCATGTGCTCAATCTTAACCCCCTAGGGTGATGGTACTAGGGGGAGGGGCCTCTGGGAGGTGCTTAAGTCATGAAGGCAGAGCCTCATGAGTGGGATTAGTGCCTTGACCAGAGGCTCCAGAGAGCTCCCTTGAGAAGGTGCCGGCTTTGAACAAAGAAGATGGCCTCCATCAGAACGTGACCGTGCCGGTGCCGTGATGTTGGACTTCCAGCCTCCAGAAGTGTGAGAAGTAAATTTCTGTTGTTTATAAGCTACTCAGTCTGTGGTATTTTGTTACAGCAGCTCAAATGGCTAAGGCAGGAAGACTTGTGCTCAGCACTAAATAAATATACTCAAGTTGTTGGGTGGCCTCTGTGGTGACCACGCACTCTGGCTTCCCCTAAGTAGACAGAACTTCTGGCATCTTGTGTCATCACCTAGCACTGCAGGTGTGCGACATCGGGTGAGGCTGTGGGCCATGTCCTCACGGCCCACTCTCAGCCTCGTTCAGGATACTGACCCAAATCAGGATTCCTGCTTTGTGAGATGACTGGACGTCCCCCTCCCCCCCACTCCCTGAGACTTGCGCATAAGGGAGCAGAGACGGTAGCAATCCAGAGCAAGGATGGCTGTAGAACCTGAGAGGAGATAGCGAAGCAGGGGTGAAGTGGCTTGGGAGGGGCTGGTCAGGTGGGAGTTTGCCCCCCCACGAGCCAGTTCTGAGCCCTTCTGACTCATATTGCTGTGTCACAGCTGGAGGACTAAGGTCCCCGTCCAGCTCCAAATTTCCTGCCTCAGTGGCAGGTAAATGCATGTGGGTCTGCTCCGGGGGCCTACCGCCCAGAACCTGCAGACTTCATCTTCCCATCTGGTTTGGGGGACTGAGAGGCCATGGGCTCAGACCCCCTCTCTCGCCTCTCTGCTTGGCCACAGCTCACACTCTGCTGAAGTAGGCGGCCACCTCCTTGCGTGGAGGCCGGGGCCCGCCCCCCGCCCAGCCGTTGCCCACCGGCGGCTCCTCCTGGCCCAGCCTCAGGGGCGGCTTGCATTTGTGCCAGCTCGTGAGCAGCCTGTTCACGGCGCCTTGATCCGTGATGCCACGGAGCTTCTCCCTCTCCTCCTCAGCACCCTCGGGGGGCGCTGGGGCAGCCGAGCCGGCGGGGGCCGTGGCCAGTGCCCCGTGGGCGTGACCCAATTCCAGGTCGTGGTTCATGGCCTCGAAGAACTGCTGGATGCAGACCTTGGCGAAGGCCTTGGCGTGTTCCGTGCACGTCTCGTCGAAGAGCTTGCGCTCGATGTCGATGTAGTGGGACCAGTACTTGCTTTTGAGGAAGGCGGCCTGTGTGAAGCAGGGCCGCACAGAGCGCACCACGAATGCCAGCAGTGTGGTCAGCAGCACGAAGGACCAGCCCAGTGCCTGCAGGGGAGAGAGGAGGGAGTCGGCTGGCATTGCTCTCCAGCATCCCAAGCCTGGCTAAACCCCCCAAAGCACTCTGTATGTCAGGGCCTTTAAGGAAAAGAGGACTGACGGGACAAATGATCTTACCTCTTGGCCTCCATTTCCTTTTCCGTCAAATGGGCACGGAAATGGGATCATGTGAGTAAAATGCCCGACGTGTGGGCCTGGCACTCAGTGCACAGGAGTTAGCTGGGCACACCTTGGAATTAGGCTGCCTGGCTTTGGACCCTGTCTCCAGTCCTTACCAGTTGACCAGGAGCAAGGTGTCTGGCTTCTCTGTGCCTCAGTTTCCCCACGTATAAAATGGGGTTGTTGACGGTACATATCTCATAGGGTTTCTGCGAGGACTAAATGTAATAATACACGGCACACAGCCTGGTACGTGCTTAGCGCTCAGGAACTGTTAGCCACTATTACTATGTCCTCGTTCACCTCCCAGGGCCAGAGTGACCCTTCGTCCTCTGAGTCTGGTACCTGTCCTCTGGCTCCTGGCATTGTCTGCCTTTCAGTAGCTAGCACTACACGAGGCTTCTCTGTGTGGGCTCTGAGTTGGGCCCTCAAGGGTCACGGAGACAAAGAAGACAGTCGCTCAGACTCTGTGCTGGAGAGCCCTAGATGCTTGGGTGCCAGATCCGCTCTGCTGATAGTTCAGTCAGGCCCGGGGCAGGACGCTCTCCTAACCTGGGCTTCTGGATCAGCCCCCAGCTGCACAGAGAAGTGTCTGGCCGGATCAGGATGCGAGGTAAGTGCCTGTAATTGGAGCTGGTGTTGTGTGGGGCTGGAGATCTTCATGTGTTTTTTTTTTTTTTAATTTTTTTTTAATGTTGATTTATTTTTGACAGAGAGAGAGAGAGAGAGAGAGAGAGAGACAGAGCATGAGTGGGGGAGGGGCAGAGAGAGAGAGAGAGGGAGACACAGAATCCGCAGCAGTCTCCAGGCTCCGAGCTGTCAGCACAGAGCCCGATGCGGGGCTCGAACTCACAAACCGTGAGATCGTGACCTGAGCCAAAGTCGGTCGCTCAACCGACTGAGCCACCCAGGCGCCCCAAGATATCTTCAGGTTTTAAGTAAAGCCAGAAATCTGAATTTCTGGTTTTCAGAGGAGGTTTTCAGACCAATTCCAAAATTGAATTTTGAATTCACTTGGAAGGCCAGATGAAACATGTCTATAGGCCAGACAGCGTGTCCCCTGGGGGACCTTTTAGTTTATGATGCAGTGGTTTATTTTTTTTTTATTTTTTTTTTTAAATTTTTTTTTTTTTTTTTTTTAACGTTTATTTATTTTTGAGACAGAGAGAGACAGAGCATGAACGGGGGGAGGGTCAGAGAGAGAGGGAGACACAGAATCCGAAACAGGCTCCAGGCTCTGAGCTGTCAGCACAGAGCCCGACGCAGGGCTCGAACTCACGAACCGCGAGATCATGACCTGAGCCGAAGTCGGACGCTTCACCGACTGAGCCACCCGGGCGCCCCTGATGCAGTGGTTTAAACGTCGGGTGGAGGGACAGTTGCCCCAGGCCCTGAGGCCTGGCATGATGGCACAAGTGTCCACAAGGGAGGGAGTGGTTTGGGAGGGAAGCAGAGCTCGTACACTCAGAGTGCGACATCCATGTGGTGGTGGTGACACGGGCCCCACGGGAGGGCCGGAGATGGGGAGCCAAGGGTCTGGACTTGCCAGAGCACAGTGTTTCTCTAGCCCTGGCAGGGCAGGCCCGGCCCCCTGCCCCTCCCCTGACAGCCCCTGGTCCATCTGCTGCCAGGGCCTGCTGCTGCTTCCTCCCCGTGCTGCAAAGACTGCAGGGGAGGCCTGGGGGCTTAGGTGGGGGACGTCCAGGGGGCAGAGGATGAGGGAGTGGGGCTGGGGAGGACCAAGCTCTGGCCCATCAGTGGGCCCTCCACCCTTGCCTTTAGGGTGCATCCCAACAGTACATCCCCTCCCCCAACCCTCCCTTCCAGGGGACCCAGGACCCTCGGATCCCACTCCCTGAGCAGAGGGGCACCTACTGGGGGCATTTGCCAGGGAAATGTACCCAAATGGCCCAGCCACCCACCTGCCTCGCCACCGCCCCGGCCTGGAAGAAGAAAAGGATGCAAATACACCAGGCTTCTAAGCCGGCGCTCAGGATGGAGAAGGTGGGGCTGCCTGAGCTGTTGGGTCCACTCTAGGGGTCTCGAGACAGGACAGGCCTCTGGGCTGAGGTAGCCACATCACTTTTCCCAGGTGGTGCTGATCCAGGGAAGACACACGGCTCTGCCTTCAGAAGTCCTGGCCTCAGTTGGGAAAATACGCCCCTGTCCCAAAGAGCTCCGTCTGAGGGGGAGACCCAGCCCAGTCTGGGGAGCTCCAATCCATTGAGAAACACGACTGTACCCTGAGAAAGCCCCGTTTCAAGAAGCGAGGGATTGGGCCTTGCCAGAGGGACCCCAGGCTGTGAGGGGAGACCCATGCCAAGGCCGTGGCACCCCCTCACCTGGGAGATGCAGCGCAGGTAACGCACGGCCACCTCGCGGGCCAGCAGCCAGTCGCCGTCATAGATGTCGGGGCAGGGCACCCGGGCTAGCAGGCGGGCGAGCTCGGGTGGGGACAGGCCGGGCGCCAGGCTGCCGTTGCCCAGCACAGTCACGGGCACGGCAGTGCAGAAGGCACAGAGGAAGCACTTGCCATCCAACAGTGTGACGGCCACCCAGACGACGGGAGCGATGAGGGCCCGCTGGGCCATGGAGCAGAACATGTAGCGCAGCACGGCAGGGTCTTTTGCCCGGCGGCCCGGGGGCCGCTTCCACTCTTCGGCCAGCATGGACACGTTGTTGTTCATGACCAGGCCGAGCAGGAAGAGCACCAGCGGGGGCGCCAGCAGGATGCCCGCGCTGTAGGCTGCGTTGTAGCCGGGCAAGCAGGGGCAGTTGAAATCGAAGGCGGAGTACATCTGGGCGCTGGCCAGTGCCATGATGCCGCAGATGCCGTTCATGAAGGACTCCTGGTTGGACTGCAGGAACTGGAAAATCATCCGGAACTTGTCCATGGCGCCCCCCCTCACGGGGCCTGACGGCCTCCTCCCACCTCACCACTGCTTCAGGATGGCCCCCGTGGCCCACTCTGCCCAGGAGGTGCCCGCCTCATGGCAGAGATGGGCAGAGTTCAGGGCAGCGGCCGAGGTCACCGTCTCTTTGAGAAACCTTCTAGTCAGGGGCTGGCTGAGAGGGCACAAGCCATCCAATCCTGTGCGTGCAGCCAGGGCTCTGCCTCTCCCTCCCTTCCTGCCCCTCCTGGGCTTCTCTCTCCACAGCTGCCTCTGGCACTGGGAAACCAAGAGGGCCACACCTGACGGAGACCAGTTCTCTGTGGGTGTGGGAGGAGCGAGGGGAAGGAGGCTCAGACGCAGGCTGGGAAGATACCGTCTCCAATAAGGTTGGAGTTTGGGAGAATGCAGGGCTGTGGCAGGGCCTCAGCTTCTTGACCTTTTCTCCTGGGCTCCTGGGAAGCGTGTCGCCCTCCTTCTGCCCTTCCCGTTGGGTCTTTCCTCTGTGCTGTATCAGGGTTCGAGAAGGCTCCTTGGTCGGTTCAGACAGTGATGGTATGTATGATAAGGTAGTGATGGCAGTGATGGTGGATGGTGGTGGGGATGGTGGGGATGGCGGTGGGATGATGGTGACGGCGGTGGGGATGGTGGGGATGGCGGTGGGGATGGGGTTGGTGGTGGGAATGGTGGGGTTGGTGGTGGGGATGGTGGGGATGGCGGTGGGATGATG